TATTTCCTTTAAAAATTGTTAAGCTAAATACCTAATATGCAAATCAGTCTTTATTGTAGCTGTACAGAAGCTACATCTCAAAGCATAAATTAAGCACATCTTTAAATAGATGAAATTTTCACTGCAAATTTGCTTACATCATCCGACGTGTACGTGATTGTTTGCTTTTTTTATCTCGGTAAATTTATGCACTATTTGATAATATAACTGCTTATTCCTCTTATCCAAAAACAGCCGATCTCCTTTTATCCCCCTACACTCCAAATACATCATTGTCATCAACAATGTATCCTTATCGCATAACGTTGTCTTTGTCGCACCGCCGCTATCTTATCTGCGCTTCCGGCGCAATTCCCTTATTCCAGTGGCTCTAAACTTTTTCTTCCTCCAGCACCCCCTAAAAAATTTCAAGATCTCCTCAATCCCCTAAAACAACCGTTAAAATGTCCTCGTACTCTTCCCACCATCTATTCTATATCTCTCACAGTGCAATAAACAATATATCCTTTCACTGTAACTCATACCAACCCGAAGAAATTGATAACCTCCGTCCGCCCTTATCTTCGGGTTTGTCAAAATATTTCCCTCTTACAATAACTTCGCTACACCGTCGGCTGTTCCTCTTTTACCTGCGTTCTCCCTCGACTATTATATAAGCTTCCGTTTAATAGAACTACTACGATTTGATAAGATGTCAGATGCACACATTGAGTAATGAAAATAACTTTATAGATGATTCTGAATCATTTACATTGACGGCAATGAATGATGATGAAAAATGAAACTTGTAAGGTAGCTGAATGATTGAACATTACAAAATGCAACATCACAAAGTTCAAAATAAGGTAAGAGAATGAGTGATGAAATGGAATCGATTCAAACGATGAGAATCATTATGACAAAGCATCCAGTAACGTTGAGACCATGTCCAAATCACCGAAGCGATGCGACATCAAATGGTGTTTGTAACGATCTTTACAATCAGATACAGTAATCAATGGTTACTGTCACAACAATGTCAGATCAGTGCAGCATATCGATATCAACAGTGAATGATTTTGATCCATCAAATGAGCAAAATGCAATAGTACACAACATCAGAACTTAACAGTGGGCAATAGCTCGCTATTCGCTATTCCGCTGCTAGCGAAGTTACTTTCTTCACTACTACGGAAATGGCGATTTGCAAAGCCATCACAGTTTTTTGATTCGGTTGTCCAGCATTGTCAATATCAATATCAAATGAATCAACAAGACTTTAAAATATGGTAAGAGAACGAACGATGAAATAAAATGTGTGCAAATAAACGATAAAAATAAATGCGTTGAATGATAAATATCTAACGAATGAAATGAATGTAGAGAGATGAATAAATTAAACACTGATGCTGCCATCTCTGAAGTCAGTTTTACCAATGATCACATTCACGATTGCTGATTTACGTTTGCTATTCGACTGCTCGATGACATTCTCAAAGAACTTATCCAGTTTATCCGTATCCGTATCACTCGATAACAACATGCCCAAGCCACCGAATGCTCTATTCACTTCTTCATAATGTACATGCTGCAATTGCAATTGATTACTGTCATGAGGATGTTCACTCCTCATACTATCGTAATCACGAAATCAACAAGATACAACAACAAGCACCTTCAGATTCACACCAGTATCATCGTCAAAGATTTTTATTTGTTCTCTGGCAATCTGTGACCAGCAAGCATCGTTGCCAATGATGGCAATAATATTCAGAGCATGCCTTTCGAACGTATCGAATTCCATCAACGAGAAACCGCATGAACCATCTCCATATATGATGAACACATCTCGATTTGGATACACCTGCAGGAATAATCATCCGTGATATGATGTATGACCAATGATAGAGATTAATAAGCACTATACCAGTTTTGCACCAAGAGCGAAGCCAGCACCTACGCCGAGTGTACCGAATGCACCTGGATCAAGCCACTGTAGTGCACCTCGAGTACGCACTATATAGGCCGCACTACCAACAAAATCGCCTCCGTCCACCACTATTATCGAGTCTTCTTTTAGTACCTTTAATTGTTAACAAGCGTTTATACAGATTACACTGTGAACAACTGAATTGTAATTGCAATTACAAATGCACCAACCTTATCGAGAGCATACAGAACACGCAGAGGATTCAGTTTAGAGTCGGTGGTGTTCTGCAGTGACTTGGTTTGGATTGATAACTCTTGCTGAGTGTCTCGTTCACTCAGCGATGACAACCACTCTGACGATGCGTATCCCTTCAATTTGTTGTTATCATTTACTTTTATCTCTTATAATAACAAGATTAGCAGTGCTCAATTTTAATAAGCAGTAATTCAGAGAGATGAACGCGTTCATGAATGATATCAGTGAGATAACAGATACCTTGTAATCAGGATCTGAACGCAATACGGCAGCAATCTGAGTGAGTGTTGAGGCGATATCCGCTTCAATGACCACATCAGCGCTCCAGAATAAACGTTCATTCTTTGTGGCTTGTTGCCGACTGCGGTTGATCGAGATTATTCGTGACTTCGATGAGAGCACGCGACCGTACGACAAACGAAAATCACACACTGTGCCTGAACGCGATTGATCGTTTGCCGTTATCATAACATTCATTATATTGTTCGATTCATTCGTATCATCTATTGCGAAGAACCTCA